TATTTAGTACGAATTTGTTACGTTTTGGTATGCTTTTGTAATAACCCATTAAACACATGCGATCTAAGTTGTGGAACTAACTTGTTACCATTCACTCTACAATGTTAAAATTCCTTGTTGAATCACACCTTAGATATTTAAATTCTGACTTAATTGACTTTCGACTCTTTCCCACATGCATAACTTGTGTCTTTGAGCTACTAATGGTCATGCCAAAGTTTGTACAAGGGCACTGATACTGTTTCGCAGTTCTTGCTCAGAACTACCAAGCAGAACCGGATCATCTGCGTACGCTAAATAATATTATCTACGCATACATCTATGCGATTTCCAGTAGAGTCGGAATTACGTATAGACTGAAGTTTAGAAGGGGTTCTAGCGTAGAAACATATATTCTATGCTTGTGTTAGTTAACTACGCATCTGTCAACGCCAAAACCGCTTCTAAACGTCAGACTATTTAGGATAGAGGGCTACTATGACTATATTTTATTGAAATATTGTAATGTTAGTAGGCTTTATCTTAAATCATGAAATGTATTTAGTCTTGTAATAGCCTTTAACTAATATACATTGCTTAAACCTATTCATGATTCCTACATGGGGGCTCAACCAAATTAGAAAAACCCTGTAAAAGACGAGAAAACATAAAACAAAAAATTAAAAGACGAAAAGCGAAAAGACGAATAAAACATTTAAAGACGTTAAGCAAAGACGAAAAAGCAGTTAAAAAAGAACGAAAAAGTTGAATATTAAAAAAAAAAAGTCATCAAAATGGAAGAATCAAAAATAATCGAACTATTCGAAAACTACCTATCTAAAATTATGGACAAAGTAAATGAAAAATTAGATGAATTTTGCAAAGAATTCAGTGAACGCAATTCAACAATTTGTGATAATTTCCAAAGTTTAAATTTGAACAATGCTGAAATACAAAACGAAACAACATCAGGGGTCTAAATATTTCTTTTACTTTAACACGTGTTAATTTGATTTTTGTGATAACTTCGGTACTAGTTTAACACTGGAAATGTAAATATGTCTATGCATTTAATACGTGTTATCTCCGTATTTTGGTGCTAATGGTGGAATTTCGTGTTAAAACGGAAAAATGACGTCAAATTGTGTTTTAACATAGATGATTGCAAATTCCAATTATATTTTATTGTTTAATAACATTGTTTATTTGTTTGAAATGCTTTCAGCTATTTATATCTACTAAAAATTTCTTAGATATTTTGGAATTATTCTTAAAACAAGATCAAATTAAGAAATAAAATTTCGATTTTTTCCAAGCCTAATTCATTTCTATTCAAAACTTCTGGAAGGTTTTAGAACTTAGATTTCTAACCTGGACAAATTTTGAACGCATTGAATGATTAATTTGTGAAAAATGAATGAAACTTCTAGCAGACTTAAAACTTAGACTTCAAACCTGAATAATAATTCTAAGCTATATTAAAAATTTCATTTATTTGTTCTGAAAATTGATATTGTTTTAAAAGGCTTGAAATTATTATTCAGGATTGAAGTCTAAGTTTTAAGTCTGCTAGAAGTTTCATTTATTTTTCTCAAAATTATCATTCAATGCGTTCAAAATTTGTCCAGGTTAAAAATCTAACTTCTCAAACCTTTTGGAAGTTTTGAAGAAAAATCGGGAAATTTCGAGTTATTTTCAAGCCCAAGAAACTAATCCACGAAAAAATCTTATAAATTGGAAAAATATCAATTTTGGATCTGTATCAATAAGAATGCAGACTCCAGAGATAGAAAAATTGTTGTTTAATTTTTTTTTAAATTTGATTGTCTTTCGGAAATATGTGAGTTCATATTGACTGAACAAAAAAACTGAAGTGTGAACTAAATAAAATTAATCACTGAGAATTATTATCGAAATTGCAACTAATAATATATATTGGCAACACATATAACCAGAACTGGTGATATTCCTAATACTAGTAAATAGTGGGTACAACTATAACACGAAATTATGGGATAACTCAATAGAAATTACATTAGAATATTCTTTTTCGTGATAAATTTTTTCGTACTGTGGCTAACTCCAAAGTAAGAACGTATTTACAATAGTACGAAAATCTGTGTTAGTGGCAAATCGGCATATTTGATACCGATATTGGTGGTATTTCCAACGGAAATATTTACGTTTGGTGTTAAATACATCCGTTAGTACCAATTTCCGGTGATAAGTTACGAAATAGTGGTAAATGTAGGAATAGTACTTCAGAAAAGGTTCTAGTGCTATTTTATCACTAAAATCGACTTAACGCGTGTTAAAGTAAAAGAAATATTTAGACCCCAGAAGTATTAAATGCAGCTCGACAAGCATTATCATCAAGAATTCATCATGATCAAGCCGCCGGAACCAGTAGAAGCAACGAAATCAAAGATACAACAGAAAAACTAGCTGAGAGTCTGAAATTGTTATCATCGACATTGCAAAAAGAATCAAATCCAAGAAGAAATGTTCGTTTTGAAGATATCGCAAAAAGCTTCAAAGAATTTCGTGGCGACTCGCATTTGAACGTTAATACTTGGCTTACTCATTTTGATGAGCAAAGCGAAATTTTCAAATTAAATGAGTTTGAAAAGTTTGTGTACGCCAAAAGACTCCTAAAAGGAACTGCCAAGTTATTTGTTGAGCATGAAAGTGTTGCAACTAATTGGAATGATTTGGCGAGAGAGTTGTACGAAGAGTTTGGTCAGCACATCAATAGCGCAATTATTCATCGAAAACTACAAGACCGTAAGAAGAAAAAAGATGAAACCTCCATACAATACTTGTATGAAATGTTGGCTATTGCTGCTCATTCTGAGATAGACATCCAGGCCATCATAACGTATACTATCAACGGTTTGCCAGGCCCAGCACAGATGAAATCATTCATGTACGAAGCCGAAAATCTGAAAGAATTCAAAAGGAAATTACTTTCTTACGATCTCCAACAGAGTAATTTCAAGAAAGAACAGCAATTAATGATAACAGAGAAATCTCAGGAAGACGAGAAAAAACCAGGCTGCTACAATTGTGGTGAAAAATTACACATTTCTTCTGATTGCCCGTCGAAGAGCAAAGGCCCAAAATGTTTCAAATGTAATGATTTTGGTCATCTAAGTACATCCTGTGAAGCCAAGAGTACCAACACCAAGTTATCAAAAATCAACATCATCAAAAAGATCGAAGTAAACGACGAAACCCAAAGGCATGATGAAAAAGACGAAGAAAATTGCACAAAAATCGAAGTCGACTTCATCGAAAATAAAATAATTGTGCCGAACAAAATTGAAAGTAGCATTACAGAAGATCAAAAGCATGGAGAAAAACCAGAAGCTATTCCTTTCAAGCGCATTTTGAACATGACAAAAACCGAATTAGATACATGGCAACTAACATTAGAAGCCCAAAACCATGAATTCAATAAAAAATCTGAGTTAGTAGAAGAATCGAAGGACGATAACAAGTGTAATGAAGGTGTAACAAAGACGTCACCAAATGAACATTTCGTCAAGAAACATTCATCGAAAAGGAACATTTTGGATCCATTGCGAAAAATCTTTTTCCTCAAAAAATTTCATTGAAAACAACACAATTCTATTTTTCTTAAGAGGAGGGTGTGTAGGATAGAGGGCTACTATGACTATATTTTATTGAAATATTGTAATGTTAGTAGGCTTTATCTTAAATCATGAAATGTATTTAGTCTTGTAATAGCCTTTAACTAATATACATTGCTTTAACCTATTCATGATTCCTACAACTATACGTAATTTCGACTCTACTGAAAATTGCATACATATATGCGTAGATTTCAAACCGAGCAATGTGCATTTCATGTAATGGTAATGAAAAAAATAATATGTTTTAAGATCGCGATATGGATGATATTAGGAAGATAGTATGTTTTTTATATTTGTATTTGGATGATTTTTCTCAATGATTTTACTACAGATCGGTTATTTTCTATTAATTGCGCGCTAACCACGCCATTTTCTTATCGATTTTGCGTTTCTCGCGCAACGAAACAAAACAACCGTGTTCAGGAATAAGTCGAATGAAATCATGAATACTTTATTTTCATTCTTACCGCGTATTTCGTTGATGTGATTGTTCGACATATCAATTACCCGAAGTTTTGGATATTCATTAATGGTGCCGAAAATATTCCAGGGTAGTTGCACAAGAACGTTTCCCGTATATATGAGAACTTCTACTTCTCTGGGCATGTTTGCAAGCACCGATGTATCTGAGAATCCTTCACTCGTGCAATTAACAACGAATTGGCGAATTCGGTCATACTCTGTTCTGCCACACCAGCACTTTCCCTTGAAAGCAGGCCCACAGCTGCCATTCCCAGCCGATATAAGCTTAAATACAACTCCAACGATGAGATAACTGAATACTAGACCTTTGAACATCTTTCGATAGACAACTGAAATAAAAACGGCATATTTTAAATTATGACACTAGATTTTAAAAATCTTTACGGGAATTGGCACAAGATTTTTGTGTTACTGTTAATTTATTCTTATATTTCGACAAAAACGACTTTGAAGCTTGACATATGTAGTGATTTGTCGTAAATTCCATTTAGTCAACCCAAATCAATTTTTCTCGATCAGTTGACGAAATTTCATACATATTTGTAGTATATAATTGGAATTGGTTGTTTTTTGCTACAAATCAACATGAACTAAACACATTTCAAGTTAATATAATGGCCCAAAATAGATAAAACATAGAATTTTATTTCAATAGTACAATGATATTGACTCATTGAAATATTTTTGTTAATAGAATTTATTCATTTAAATTGATTTTATTGAATAGATGATCAAATTATCGGATTAATGCACCATATCGCATAATTTAAAATGCTCAATTGAACAAAATAATGATTAGTTTGCGCGAAATTCGAAATTAATGAAGAATAACCGGTGTACGCATTACACTAAACGCACTCATGCTAGCGAGCCTAGATCGTCTCAATTTATAATGTGTTCACACCAAACGTCAAACAGGTGTTTGATTGGACTTTACCATTGCTTTTGTCAATCATGAATTTCATGGCTATTCTATGAAATAATAATTCACAGCACCATACAGCGTTTCTTCGCTAGAGTGTATTTAATTGGTGTAAATATCAATTTTTACAATGCGATAATTTTATGTTATGACAGTATTTGTACTCTCTGTTTGACAGTATTTGTACTGGCATTAAAATCAATTAAATAAGTATCACAAACGTGGGATCGTAGTAATATCACATTCATTGGGTTGATTAGGTCACAAAATTATAATTGAGAAATTGGTAACTAATATCAGATGTAGAGAATAAAAAAAACATTGAATTCTTTGATGTTAGTTGTAGAGCGTAGAAAAACTCGCCCTATATTTCCAATGGAATTGAAAAAAAAACCAAAGAGTAAAATTAGTTTCTATAAAAACATTCACTTTTTATGGAAACTCGACCATAGCTCGAGTATTTGACCAAAACGTCGAAATCAATAGAAAAACAATTCTTAGTTTTCTGCTGTGGGTTGTGCGTGGATGTATAATAAAATTGATCACTTACACTACATCACTTTATTATATTTTGTTTCATATTAATAATAATAACACAAAAAATATACAGTGTTCACTATATGCCATCAAAAACCAACTTAATTTTATATGATCTTAATTATGTCATCACTTTACTTTCCAAAAACAATTACAATATAAAGAGTTCTAGTGAGGAAAACGCCCAATGAAATTATTATTTCTTAAAAATAAACAATTACCCAAATAATATATATAATTTCAAGTTGTGGAACGTAGTTTTATTTATTCACTTAAAAATAAATTGAATTGAATATTCTTCAAGATTCATTTGCTGTTGAGACTTGAGTTCGTGTGGGTCTTATAGTTGGCTAGATATAATGATGATTGTGAACCAAATGAAACTTTACACCAAAACGACAGACAGTCACGTAACACATACCTATACCACTAATACAAACATATAGAAACTGGCAACTGGTTCTTCTTTACATTTCTGCTTCACTTTGATATTCGCTGTTTCGTGTTACATGTTCCACTCTATGTTACTGGCCATGAATTATGCAGTACGCCGTAGTATTATTCATATATTTGCCCGACGATTTTTCAAACAATGCATACATTCTATTTATAGAATCTTACTTTGTTTATTCATTTTGAATGAAAGATTTCTGATCAGAAAGCTAAAGTGTATCATTATTCTTTAAATATATACCTTAACCATTCAATAATTGATTAATAGAGCATAAACATCAAAATCAAATATTTTTTCCGGCCGAAAATTGGCTCATTTCCTATAATACGCTATTACGTCAATCCTTGACTTCACTTCGGTATAGAGATTTTTTTATTTTTTATTTCCACTTTAAATATCAGTTGAGCAATTTCTAAACAGTACAGCGTGATGAAAACCAGACTTAATATTAATATATGGCTGCTGCATCCATTTCTAATCCACGCAGTATTTGGAAGATGTTATACCATCCTCCCGTTTTTCAGTTTTTTTGAATATGGAAAACTAAATTGAGCCAAAGCTGAATTATAGAATGATTTTTTTTTTTTCAAACTGTAGCCAGAATGGTGGTATTTTGCTTTTCGGAAAACCGGTAGAAAACGTACGTCGATTGAGATGTACCTCCCCTACAATTTGATTTAAAAATCAGACCTCAAAAAGGCGTTGTTCCAAATTACTGTAGACGGGCTTACCATTTCACCATATTTTCAAATGTCAATTTTCACCTCTAGAAAAAGAGAATAATGAATGTTGTACCACATTTTTTTCAAGGATTTAAAATTCATTTATTTTCTATATATTTTCTTATACGTTCATTTTAACCATTTCCCGATTACAAACTACAAATTCAGTCAAGAAATATTTATTTTCTGTATTCCTAATTATGCGGACATATAATTCGACACCGGCTTTTAGCGGCAGTTTTCGTCGAAACCAACATAATTAAAAGTTCAACGTGGATGACCGTATAATTGAATTGTAAGAAATAAAAAAGAAATTATTTTGAAAACTAAAGGGTAAATTGGTAAATTCGGGTCCATCACCTTGAAAACAGTTTAATAACCATATAAATTTTAACTTAATGACATAACAAAGGCAGTACAAATGAATGAAAATAATAATTCGTTAATACATGATTTTCAATGTTTGGGCGATTTCAAGTCCAGTTCAAGTTCGTTCGAAATTTGTTCATTTGTTGAACTGAACATAAGAAATTTCAAAATTAAAACGATTTAAACCACATTTGTATCCGTTCACATCAGGGTTCAATTGAATTGAACAATGTTCAAAAATCATATCTGTTTCGAACATGGTCAAACTGTGTTGGAGTTCGTTCATGTTCGGTTCAAAATTATCCAAAAAGAAAATCTCTTGTTCATGTTCGTTCGGTGTTCAGTTCAATTGTTGAATTCACGCAAAAATCAAGTTTATGTTCGGTCCATGTTTGGTTGAAACTCGAACAAACTCGAATTCATCCGATATTTTTCAAAAGTTGCGTTGTTGTAACGCATCCACAGTACAAAGTTCATATTTACTTTCGGATTTGCCAGGTCAAATTTGAGGCTGATCCGAGCGAAATTTGGCAAAGATAATGCGACTTTACTTCCAGAACATAGCTAATCTTGTTCCCGAATTATATTCAAAAAAGCATTTATGAAATATTGGCAAATCTGGAAGCGAATCCTGTGGAACAGGTGGACACGACCTTGTCCAATATGTTCTGGAAGTAAAGTTTTCCCTATAGGAATGCTAAATCGCATTATTTTTGCTAAATTCCGCTCGGATCAGCCTCAAATTTGACTTGGCAGATCCGGAAGGAAATATCAAGTTTGTACTTGGATGCACATCATGGCACTGACTGGCAACAGCGATTGTGCTGCTAGAAAATGCGGTGGCCAGCGTAACAATTGAGCGAGTCGTCGCATGAAAAGATCCGATTTTACGCGACGTTTGCACTTACATAAAGGCATGTGCGTAAAACCGGCTCTTTTCATGCGTTTTTAACGTATGGAAACATTCGGTTTTACGCGACGCCCGATAGGGACAATCGACGAAATGGCAAAGTGATTGCCCAGTTGTCATTGGTTTCCAGGCTGTGTGTGGATGCGTTACAACAACGCAACGCATGAAAAATATCGGATAAATTTAACCAGCTATTTGATATTTGAAATTTATATAAATAAATTTATGTGAAACCATTCCCTGGAAAAAACGTAGGTAAATAATTAATTACTAATTTCGATAGTTCCGAGTCAGAAATGAGACCGGATTAGACTTATTTTCCCCTTCATGGTGCAGCCTACATTCACAAATCCAATTTTTCAATTCTGAAGAACAACTCGATGGATACATTTTCCGTTTCGTTTGAGACGAAAGTTAAAGTCCACAAAAAAGTAAGATTTTACTGTTCTAAATATTCTGTAACGTTAGAGAAACTATAGAGCACTCTGTGATTGTGAGATTTGTTTTGCAAACAGCTGTTATTTTCATTTGAATTCAAATAGCATTACAGTTTTTTTTATATGTTTTCCATTGTATCTAGACTATTATCATGTAATTGATGGAAATTTCATTTTTTAGACGGAGTGACTCACTTTTACAAGCTGACAAAATTACGGAATTGAAATAAGATTTCGGAATGCAATTCGATATTATTTCGATACAAACGTGTAAAAACCATATAAATGATCATTTGAATATCTCAACAGGGATTCATATCATCATCTCCACATGCTTTGACTATGGAGAATTTGAAAGCAAATACTATATTTCTCAATTATTTTTTAAGATAGATAGAACTTTAGACTGATCCAAAAAAAAAATTGGTCGCTTATAAAAAGTGCCGTCCAGTTTCGAAATATATACCTCGAAAAAATAGGTTTGGCGCAAAAAAATCATATGGTTACCATAGAAATTGGTGGAGCAAGTCCCATATCAAAATTTTCATGACAGTGTTTTCTGAAGCCATTTTAGATCGCAAAATTTCGACCAATTCTATTATTCCAGCCAATTTGCGGCAAAAACTAACTATATGATTTTTTTGCGCCAAATCCATTTTTTTTTAGGTATACTATTTTTCGAAACTGGTCGGCTTTTTTTATAAACGACCAACTTTTTTTTGGATCAGTCTCTAAAACCTCTACAGCTTTCGATACAGCTTTGAACAATTGATTACGCTTTCAAATAATCCACTTCAATATAGCATTGGATGTGAGATTCAAGAAAGTTAAATTCTATTGATTTCGAATCTGATGGGAAACTTTATGACACCTTTCGCACAATTTTTTATCTCCGAAATAAGTGTCCATTACAAAGGATCCATTTAAAATTGACTCTATAGAAATTTTGTGGCTGTTAAATATTTTCACCATGACATAAAAGTTAATGTACTGCGTAATCTAATGAAAATTTATCGTCTTCATTTGTATAATTAGACTAACGACGCCTTGAAGGTGTTTTCAATCATTTTCCATATAAAAACAATTTCAATTGCTAATGAAACACATGTTTGGTGTGAGATCGAACTAAAAATTCTTGGTCCGACTAATATTATATTATATTTCAATGAATTTCGAGAATTCAAGTTTTTGAATAATGAATTTGAACACTTTTTCAAAAAAATAAAAATAAAATGATAATTTTACAGCGTGTTATGAGCTTATGTCAGCAGCGCTAACTGAAGTCAGTTGCTGAGCTCAGCTGCTGACTCGTATGCGTTGTGTTATTTAAACGCATTTACAGTATAAAAATGAAGAGGAGTCCATTGGCTTCCAATGGATCTCTTTGTTAGGCACTACATGAAATGTAGAGTCTATTGATTTAGTCATGTTTTTTCAGATAAAAAATTATGCTCTTTGTTTTTCTATTGCAAACGCGTTTGAACAGCTCAAAGTTCACGAGTCAGCAGCTGAGCTCAGCAACTGACTTCAGTTAGTGCTACTGACATCAGCTGATAACACGCTCTATAATTTATTGGTGAATATCTTGTTTGTCATCTCTCGTGTACATCTAAACTAATTTAGCAGTACTACATAGAATATCAGAATGTGCAGTTAATCTGTCTGGAAAGTAGTGTGATCAATGATCACCACAAGAACTACCTTAGATTTTGGAAATATATGCAGTTCAATAAACATTCGAAGACTACTACAAGATTATCATTTAAATCGACTTTTTTTATCGAACGTTTGAACTTTATATTGGGAGTGTGAATTAATTCGTGCGGTTTCACAAAAGATGGCGTAACTAGATTATTATTCCATTATTCCATTTTTCCAAATATTCATTGGAAAGCTACTGTCATTATGCGTCTTTTTCAGTCTGTGTCATTTGATTGAAGCGTAAACAATAACATTTTTTATTCAATTGGAAATGTCGAATTTCGTGCCAGATAAAGTGTTTTTACGGGGCGTTCTTCTTCATTGTTTTATGATGTGCAGCCGAAAGTCATCGAATTTTAGTGGAAGTTTATGGTGACCATGCTCTAGCTGATCGAACGTGTCAAAAGGGGTTTGCACGATTTAAAAGTGGTGATTTTGGCTTGGAAGACGAGGAGCAGCCCGGACAGCCAAAAAAGTTTGGAGATGAAAAATTGGAGGCATTACTCGATCAAGATTCGTGCCAAACGCAAGAAGAACTTGCAGATTCATTGGGAGTTGATCGCTCAACCATTGCAAATCGTTTGCATAATCTGGGAATGATCCAAAAGCAAGGAAATTGGGTACCATATGAATTGAAGCCAAGAGACGTCGAAAGTCGATTTTGCATGTCAGAAATGTTGCTTGAACGCTTCAAAAAAAGGTCGTTTTTGCATCAAATTGTTACTGGTGATGAAAAATGGATCCACTACGATAATCCAAAACGAAAAAAATCGTGGGATAAGCCCGGCCATGCATCAACATCGACGGCCAAGCCAAATATCCATGGCGCCAAGGTAATGCTCTCTATTTGATGGGATCAGAAGGGAGTGTTCTACTATGAGCTGCTAAAACCTGGTGAAAACATCAATGGTGAACGCTATCGACGACAATTGATCAAATTGAACGCAGCAATCAAAGCAAAACGGCCGGAATATGCGACCAGACACGAGCCCATAATATTCCATGATGAAAATGCTCGGCCTCATCGCACTCAACCGGTCAAAAATTACGTGGAGAACGTCGGATGGCATGTTTTACCCCACCCCCCTTGTAGCCCAGACCTTGCTCCTTCCGACTACTACTTGTTTCGATCCATGCAGAATGCCCTCACCGGAACACGCTTCACTTCAGTTCAAGGAATCAAAAATTGGCTTGACACGTTTTTGGCCGCCAAGCCGGCACATTTTTTCCGGGATGGAATCCATAAGTTGCCAGAAAGATGGCAGAATGTAGTGTCTAGCGATGGACAATACTTTGAACATTGAATGTATGAACATTTTTTCGAAATAAAGCTTCAATTTTTCAAAAAAACCGCACGAATTAATTCACACTCCCAATAGAAAAACTTCAAACACAGGAGAATTGGTCGATCTTTCTAAATTTGCCCAAACGTATTCGTTGATAGCGTGTCCATTCGCATGGAGATGGGTTTGAAGGAGTTTTTCCATTCCGTTGCAGAAATTCAATTTCTGCATAAAAATTTCTTCGATTCAAGTCGTAGATCGTTGAATTATGAATAGCTTGGATGGATTTTGTTTGAGGTATTAAGCTTCCAGGTCTTAATATTGAGTCTTTCTGATTTGGAGTGGTCACTTTTAATATTAGATTGTGTTGAAACTGAATAACAGAATTGTGTGTCACGTGCAACGGAGAACCAATCACATGTTATACTATACTATCGGTGTGCACATGTGAACATTGAATTTCTTTAAGACAGTACAGTAATGATAAATTTTGTCTTGGCATCGGAGCCTTAACAAATATGTGATTCACCCTTTTTTCTATATAGAATCTTAAAACAACAACCTCTAACTGATTTTTCAAATGTCAAATTTAACATTTGAGATTTCCTCAAAACGAGAACAGAACTCAAGGCAATACTATAATATACATTTTGCGCTATCCTTAAGACTCTACTTCTACTCTCGAAACCCAGATTTTTTTTTCAATCTCACAAATTCAAAAGAAACTATACAATTTTTTTTAAACGATATATCTTTTGTTCTCAAAATTCGACTGAATAATAAATATAACACAAAACCCAAAAAAATCAATATCTTGCACTTCTCTGCACATTAAGTGATATTTCGAACATATTGTTTCGTCTTTTTCGTCTTTTTATGGATCTAGGGGATAGATAAGGTTTTTCAGCGTATATTTTTCGTCGAATTGGTCTCATTTTAGATCGAGTAGAACCGAGGACGTCTATGCATTTTAAATGCAAACTGGAAACCACTCAAAACTCTCGATCAGTTGACTTTAGTAGTTATCCGTATGATGTGTGCACATTACACTGAACCAAGTTGCACCGAGTACATAAATTCAACTATCACCGAGTATTTGTTGAGTATGAATTCATGTTTAATTCATCCGTTCATTTTGACTCGGTGAGATTTGAAAATCGTCAGAGTTTTGGTGGTAGAACCACCCACATTTACTATACAAAATACAGATTTGTTCTACAATTTTCGAACATTTGTTTTAAATAGATAAAAGACATTGTTTCGGTATGTTTTGTGGAGAAATATTAGTCTTTTTCAATTCGCTTTGTCTCATTGTTGATGTCTATATTATTTTAAAAATTCTATGTTGTTTTAAATTCAGTTTCGTAATATGACATATCGCATAGTAAACTAATTTAACCATGTTCACTTCAATTGCTTCATAGAATTTATTACTAACTCTTATAACTTCAACTTGAATACTATATAATATAGAACTATCATTTTTCCTCTTTTTAGTCTCTAGAACGTGATTGTAAATTTTTCTTGATCGATTATCGATTTTAAGTAAAGATAATTGCACCAAACAAAAAAGATAGACATTTTTGAATGTTTTATGCAATTTTAATCATCCTTCAGGTTGCTTTATTGCTTGAGTAGCCTCAGAGCGTATTAATATGTATTTTCGCTATTACGCTTATTAAAGACCGAATTGCGGCAAAAATATTGTATTACTTGAACACTTGTCTGACATTTGGTGTGAATACGGCTCTATAATATATATCAATATATGCAAACTTAATTGTTTCTATATTTCAGATAATATGGGATTATTTTGTCATAGAGTGATTTTTTCTACAGCAAAATAGATTATATAAGGTTCCAATGCCACACTATAGTGGCACCAAAAGCTTATTTAATTATGCTGTATATGACTTATGCTACTATTTTTGCTGAAGCACATCGCATAACACAGCGAAACGACATTTTTCTACTCGACGAAATCGTATCGCTTGAAACGTTGTCAGAACAAAGCGAAACATAATTAATTTGTATACGTTCCGTATTAATCCAGTAAAACCATAAGTAGTTTTTATTCTATAACATTCAAATATTGTTCCAGATCATATAATTTTTATTGGGAGGTATACCGAATTTTCATAGTTGACCATGTAAATCATCATCCGGAAGTCAACTATAACATAAAATTTGGCTAAAGGTTGAAATTAAGAGTAATATATTACGACAGCCAAAGATAATTTAAAATATTAATGAATTGGTTTACCCCTTTGTTTCATTATTTGTATTATTGTTAATACGAAAATATGAATTGATGCTCCGAGACTCTCAAATTTAAACCGTTAAAAGTCCCATTGGATTTACATTAAGTCACACAGTACTTGAAATATTATTTAACGATAATCGCCGGTCTAATCCTTTTTGTCAATATTCTCTTGAAGTGCTGATTTATTTTTAAAACATGCTATCGTTTTTAGCATTTCTAAATTCTTCTACTACATTCTTGATTGGAAAACATTAAAATAACATTTGTGACATCAACAAAGACATTTTGGACCTTTTCTATTCGAACCGAAAGATTGAAGTGTTTTTGCTTGATTTCAAACAGATTTGAACTAAAACATAGCTTCAATAATGTAATAAAGTAACTATTCAAAGATGTTGTCTTATTTTTGTGATAAATTTCCTTTCCATAAAGTGTTAACTGGTATAGTTCAGCACTTCCACTCAACAAGAGAATGTTAACGAAAACATTTTTTCCGTTCTTGGACAGTATTATTTTGTTTGATGTTAAAAAATGGTTGATGTAAAATATATTCTCCCTAGATAGAGAGCAAGTTCGTTTGTCTAGTGATTTTTCCGATTTTAATTGAAACGAATGACAATTCTGTACGACGAAAAATTTGAAGGTTGTCACACTGTAGTAACTCGGTCAACTTCAACGTATCGCACAGAATTGTCGTTTTGTCAGCAAATCACATCTTTATCATCAAAAGTGGCAGTATCCATGGAGCTAAGTGATTTTAAACGTGTTTGGAGTATTGATGATCCTCGGAAACTACGTTTGATTTTGCTGTTTGAAAATAAATGAAACCATTATAAGATATGTATTTTCTCGAATAATTTTTGACTTACCGATATAAATATGCACTAAATAGGCAAATTGTCAAAATGATTGACACCAATAATCCAGCCAATATTTCGGCAGGAAGTTTCAGCAATGCGGAACAGTGTCGGAACGATTCATCGTAGCCTGATGGGCAATGGTTAATACCGTCACACCATACACTGGAATTTACGCATGCATCCAGTTCCGGACAGATGAAAGCGCAATTTTCAGCTGTGAATCAAACATAGAAAATTAGAAATGTTTTCTTCAACATTCTGGAAATTCATTGATAATGATTGTTTGGTTAACATACCAACAAGTCCAAGTGAAATACGTGGTACCATTTCAAACCAAGTAAATTGATAGTCTTGATCATCGGGGTCTATGTATTCAATTGAAATTGAGCGAATCGGATGCACATCTTTGAAATCATTGTAACTATCCCAGCCAGAACTAAACATCTCCACAAAACTGTTTTCTACTGCATTTTCGTTAAACGGACATGCTGTAATCGATAAACCTTCACCATTTGTGAAAACAAATCGAGCTTTCGTTGAACAGTGAGTAGCATACGAAGATTTTAAGCCAGATTCGGATATTAAGTGTGATTTTATGGGAATATGTTTTCTTAAGTAAGCGCCATTCATGCGAACATACAAGTATCGATCTTCCGATGGTTCGATGATCCATTGTCGAGTTCGACATTCCTTCTGTAATTCGCATTTTTCTGTCAATTTCAGACATTTTTTAAATTAAATTTTCGAGTTAAGCTTACGTTTTCATCAGCCAAATTGATAATGCCACTTGGTCCAGATAATCTCTTAACTTCTTTGCACAATAACGGTAATTTAATAAACTCATATGTGGCCTCAAAGTGTAAATTATCGGGATCATCGTGCGCTGTCATATTGAAGGCAGTAAAACGGACTTCAAGTGCTCGACTTGATGAGGTGTAAACTATTGGAAGATCGGACGTATTGGAAGAATTGCAGGCACATCCTCGTTGATAAAATGCCTCACCACTGCCAGTTGGTTGTTCCATGATCTAATATTTAAAAAAAAAAACGATTATCTGAAAACGATCTTTTTGACGCGTCATTTTCCGACTAGTTTAAATGTGAACATTTAAAAGCTCCTAAATTGATAATTTTGGATATCCACAGATTATATGTGTGATTAGTTGAGCAATATCCAAAGAGGACTACCAAAAACAATATATTTCAAACGTGGAAACATACCTGCAGTTTTGCCCGTTGATCACCAAAACAATACGAACGTTTTGTATCGGGGTCGACACGAGATAAGCATTGACGATTTGATGTAACAACTCTCTTTATTGTAATACGGATTCGTTCATCACGTTCTGATTCGAAACGATACACGCAACTGGAATAATGCAGAATATGTAGAAATTGTTCAAATTTATTCAATGATTTCGTCAATAGTTGGCACTGTCAACAAAGGACAGACATCTTACTTTAAGTCGCTAGCGCCACCCCTTCCAAATAGGAAAATATTCCGAACACTTCGAAATTTGCCCATGTCGCGCCTTTCTAATTCAGAACTGATAAATTTCCTTTGGCACTCGTGCTCAGAATAAATTGGTGCTCCATCTTGTTGATAATCAACAAACTCATATCGTAATTTAAACTTTACCGGTCTGTAATGGTAGGAAAAAAATTAAAATTTCAATGCACTTCCCCACTTCATTCGAAATGAAACTTACTGCAAGACCGTGCTCTCAATGTTTCGCAGCTCGAATGTTACATAGTCACTGCTTGATACATAGCTTTCTAAAACAGTGCATGGACGTGATAATGACTCGTTTAAAACTCCATGGTCACAACTTTTTGGTATGCGATTATAACAATACCGTGCAATAACACTGGTCAAGTTTTGACCATATTTTGTCATCGTTCTGCTATCGCGTTCACTAAAATTTAGAAATGGAATCTGATTTAATACGATCTAATAAAGTTGCACTATTCTAAAAATTGTGCAAGAGTTTTCAATTTTTAATATAAGTTAGTCAAAACACTACCCTTCCAAAAGTTTTGACTCACTTACAGAAATGCTTCATTTTGAATACAACCACCTGTCTGGAACGTAGACTCAGAAGTGAGTTTATATTTATAAGCGAGTCGAAACTTTTGGAGAGTACCATTTTTAGAGTAGTATTGAGGTTGTCTTCAAGACACATCTATGACTCTAACTAATTTGACGCAAACAAAAATATTTAGACCTCATCTACCAAATGCAGAAATGAAAACTCGATTATATTGAAACCCAAACATATAATAAGTAAATGCGATACTCTCTGGCTTCTATGTAGCATACCAATTTAAATCGTTACAAACTGGAACTTCTCGTAACGGCCCGTCCCAAATTCTCAGCATTCCGTTGCACTCTTCATTTGGATAATGATATCCAGACCCTCCACCCTTTGAACTGGATATCAAAACATTTGCAGTTTCACCACTATCCACGTTGTTTGCGAGCAATGCTACGTTATTGGATTCATTAGGACTATCGACGACACTCGTATATTTTGGAGATAGATTAAATTTTAAAACGGATATCCACACTTTGAATCTTAAGAATTGGGGTAGTATAATCCCAGTTCGACGTGGTGAATGAAATTGATCGTACGGGCGATAAATTGATTCGGTTCCCTGGATTCAAATAATAATAGCATCGATCAATATTTTAGAATAATAGGATAAAGTACATATTTGTCAACTGGAAGATGATTCACCTGCAAGTGATACAAGCATGTTGTATTTGGTGGCAAAGAATGACGCGGACTCTCTAATTCTCCGTGCCCAGTACCTCGGATCCAGAACTCACACATTTGCTTATTTTTAGCATATAAATAGCTCTGTGTATCGACAAATTCAACTGAAATCTATAGATGAAACATATATAAGTATACGAATTTTTTTTACTTAAACCTAGTTTACAGTTCGGCAGAAAAAAATTGAAATTGAAAATTTCAAATCCGATTTTTAGCGCAGTATTACCTCGAACCGTTTAACAGTAATGTTACGAAAAACTTTTTTTGCGCTCAATATTTTTTTTAAGATTTAGATTTATACATCGGTAAGACCCTTTATTCTTCACTACATTTTCTATTCCCTTAACTGTTAACTAGGCTTAATGAAGATTAAGAATAATGGCGCAATTACCTCCAAATGAAAACCATTGAGGGTTCGGGATTGTACTGGAGATGATGTGAGCGTTCCAAATGGCGAAGTTACAAATTCAATCAATAACTCAGGTCCACTAGAAGTTGCTGACGCTAAACCATTGCCCCCACCACCACAAAACTTGAGAATCACGGGGTCTCTTGTTGTATATCCATCATATAAAGTGATAAAGTCCTATAGTTAAAGAACAAAACGTTTAACATAATCTATCCGTCTGCTAGGTGATAAATTTTTCTTTTAAAAGCTCGATGAGGTAAGAGATTCGTTCATTTACAAAATACAAGGAAAATTTATTGTTTTGTTCTTGTAACGCAAATGCCGGTGTGAGTGTGTTACTGTATTACTTTTCCACACGACAATGTTGTGTAAGAAAAGTATTGCGATCACCCCGGATTTTTTGATCCAATATAAATCAGTTTTTTTCAATTTTTGAACGCCGAAAATCGCGAAATCTAGTGTTATTTTAGGGTCGTAGGTTAGGTGCGTGGTACACTGTAGGCAAAAAACACGGTAATTTTTTTATGTCACAAATTGTGACTCACAATGTAAAGGGTGTAGAAAAGATTACCTTACGGAAGTAAGGCACCTTGTTTTTATAATGAAATTGGAGTTTTTCCTTTACGAATCAACAAAACTTCCCGGAGTTTTACCTACATGTGAATTATAATATATTCACTCGGAATTTTCACCTAAGAAGGCACCTGGTATGAATGAAGTATCGGCACGAGAATTGACTTTGGTGAAGTTTTTTATTTGATATAAGTTAGATTCATTTTTGGGTGACCTCCAAATATTGATCGACATTTCTTTAAATTATGAAAATTTGGTATATTTTAGTTTAACTCTCTACAGCGTAGCCAAGATTTGTACCTCGGGAACTTTTTCTAGGTTAATTTTGATTTCATTTACCTGTACTATATCACAATCGTCCCACGTTGTAAGTCGAGGTTCAACTTTTTCTCTGTCATTTTTCTGCTTGTTGGCTGCTGTCGATGCTGATGTTTGAATCCACATCAAATCACCCTTTGGTTGACGAACTGTTATTAATGCATGTTTTCCAGCAGGCACATCATGCTAATATTGATAAATGATTTACTTCAGTACCTCGATCAATAAATCGAATACCGGTGAGAGTCTTCAAATATTTTCTAATATACATATTAGGAGGTACATGTGGCTGCCCCCCCCCCTCCAGTTCAAAAAATGAAAAACTACTCCACTTCTACGACAACAAATAATCAACCGTCACCTCAGTCTGAGAACACCTCTTGTTTCCAGCTTGACCTAGACTTTGTCATGACTGAAATGACGAAGGTCAACACCAAGAAAGGTGTAGGACCCGACGGTATTCATCCTTTAATTTTGAAGGAGTGTGCTCCGACGCTTGCTAGCCCGTTGACTAAGATCTTCAATGAGTCGCTTTCATCTGGCATTTTTCCCGACGAGTGGAAACGATCGAGTGTAACGAGTGGAAACGATCAGCCATATTCAAAAAGGGTCCCAGATCGGACATTGAAAACTACAGGTGCATAGCAAAATTACCAACGATCGCTAAATTCTTCGAGCACCTCGTCAACGTAAATTTGCTTGAAACTGTTCGTGATCGCATCTCGCCTAACCAACATGGCTTTATGAAAGGACGATCTACAGCATCAAACCTAACCGAGTTTGTGTACTACGCCCAGAGTGGCCTGAACATTGGAGCTCAAGTTGATGTCCTGTACACGGACTTTACGAAAGCCTTCGATCGAGTTGATCACAAAATTTTGATTGAAAAATTGAAGTCATTCAATCTACCTCAAAACTTGCTGGCATGGCTTAAGTCGTACCTGGAAAAGCGTATTCAATTTGTCAAGCACGGAGCAAGTGAGTCGAACGATTTTACAGCGTCGTCGGGTGTCCCACAGGGGAGCCACCTTGGCCCTACATTATTCCTGCTATTCATCAACGATATCATGGATCAAATGCCCCCGGACATCATGATATTACTGTTTGCCGACGATATCAAAATTGCCAAAATCATCAAATCTCAACAAGATTCGGAGATACTGCAACAAGCCATCGACAAACTCAAACATTGGTGTGATGTGAATCTGCTGCACCTTAACCTCGAAAAATGTGCAGTGCTATCTATCTACAAGAAACGTCAGCATTTGGATACAAACTACACCTATGGCGACCATGCCTTCGACAAAGTGACTGAACACAAGGAATTGGGTGTTCTAATTGACAGAAAGCTATCTTTTGCCAAACACATTGACATGGTCACTTCGAAGGCAACGGCTGCGCTTGGCTTTGTCAAACGCTTCTGCCATGATATCACCGACGTCACCACACTAAAGTCGCTGTATTTTGCATTAGTTCAATCGCACCTCGATTACTGCGCCATGGTATGGCTTCCAATCCACAAAATTCACAGCGACAAAATTGAATCCGTGCAACGCCAATTCACTATGTACGCTCGTCGTGAATACCCATCCGTGCATAACCAATACTCAATCACACCGTACGAGCAGCGATTGTCAGACTTGAACATGATTAGTCTTCGCCGTCGACGTGTCAACGCGTCACTGACTTTCTTCTACGACATCATCAACGGTAATGCTAACTGTCCAACAGTTAGTGACCAAGTCTCACTTAATGATGGGCGTTCATTGAGACACAGCGAACAATTCAAGGTGAATGACAAGCACATGAAGCTGGTGCGCGAAGCTCCAATTCCTCAAATGTGCAAAATGGCGAACATGGTGCCGGAACTGTTCACAGCTGCAACCTCAAAGAAGAATTTTGCATCATCGGTTCGCAGAATGGCGGACACCACTTTTGGATCGCTTTGCAAACTTAAATGACTACCTGGCCGCCTAGTCAACTTCTCATCCAGGTAACCTCATTTTTTGTATATGTTCTCCACGAGGACACCTTGATACTGCCCACATTAATGATGAAATTTCGATTTTCATGTTGCCGTTAAACCTGATCCTGATCTCAAGCGGACAAACTCATCAATGACAACGCATATTGCCCGAATGCCATTTAGGTTGCTGCTGATTGAAACAAACAAGAGTGGGGCTGCCCCAGGTACCAACCACCTACGTGGTATTCGACTCATCGCACACGAATCACACAGCAAAATCGATACTAAAAGACTGACGAATTGTTCCCCATACATTCTCTTATGTGTATAGAAATGATGATACTTATCTGTGATGTTTACACTTATTATTTATTGTAAAATTTGATTTTGTGCTTTGTTGTAGCCATCCATGAGTTGGCAACTTAATATTATTATGTCTGAAATCAATTTTGAATTATTCATAATTAGCATCAAATGCTCTAGTTACGCTTCAAATCATAGTCCATGTCAACTCAATGCACTCTGCAATCAACATGGATCTGCCTTTAAGACGTAAAACTTCTCGTCAATTTATCCACCGGTATAAATTGAGCGACGACTTTTGCTGTCCTAGGGTCTCAAATTAAACGTGTAATTAAACGCTTCACATAGCCTTTGTTCCTTTGGAAACGTTTACCAAAGGTTATCATGGACCGTTTGCCATAGACTAATATCAAGCATTTCCATCTTGGTTGTATGACTGTTTTTTCGTTTTCATGTTCCTAATATTGTGAATACCGCATGATGTATGAAAAGAGCCAGGTTTTTAACGAGGCGAGAACTGATAGTTATGAAAAATTATCGCTACTAAATGTTTATTATTTTAAATATGTAACAGTCTTGCACTCTTTTCCGGCCAAACCTTAATCAAAAACCCACATTATATTCAGCCAGAGCTTGGCGGTGTTTATTAAAATAAAAAAAAAATAAAAAAATAATTCCGGATTCGGAATCTGGGGAGTTAGTGCTGGTTTGTGCCAAATTTGTAGAGTTTGTGCTGCAACTGGGCGCGAGCACTAACTCGCCAAAGTCAGAAATTTGGAAAAAACGGCCATTTTGTATGGCGACTTTATCTCAGGCCTCCAATCTTGATGTACTGAGACCAGTTTTGGAAAATTTGGAGTTAGTGCTGGTTGTGTGCAAGTTTCCAGAGTTTGTGCTGCAACTACACGCGAGCACTAACTCACTGGAAATGACTTTTTGTCAAATTTGAAAAAATTGTTCGGCGACTCCATCTCAGGCCATGAATCTTGGTGTACTGAGATTGGTTTTGAAAATTTGGAGTTAGTGCTGGTAGCATGCAACATTTGAAGCCCTTTTGCACCTCTTGTTCCCGAGCACTAACTCACTGAAAATGAAATTTTGTCAAATTTGAAAAAAATCTTCGGCTACTCCATCTCAGGTAGTGTTGGCTCCGAACGTCCGTTCCTTCGTTCGTCAACATAAAAAAAATCTGTTTTGTTCGTTCGTTCGTTCGGACAATTGAAAAAAAATTATTTTGTTCGTTCGTTCGTTCGTGAAATAGAAAAAAAAAATTTTTGTTCGTTCGTTCGTTCGGATAATATGCTATGTTCGACCGTTCGGA